GATAACTGCGATCCAGGCTGAACCCCTAACACCGATGAAGTAAACCCCTTCACAGACAACTGCAAGTCCATCACCGCTGTGGTCGGTACTGTTGGACTTCGTGTTGTGGCCGTTCGTGATAGAAGAGGTTTTCCGACCAAGGCGGCAGCTTCTTGTCTCGTTCGTAGAGGTAGCCACAGTTGTTGCAGAGAGTGCGTGGGCCTTTTGGACCGTCGCGGACAGCCCAGACGGCAGTTCCCCAGACCCAGCAGTGTGCGCATCTCCATGTTTGTCGCTCCCTGTGGTTGTTGTTAGTTCCAATATCACAATGCACAATGCCAGTATTGTCACATACCCTTCTTGGAGCCCTCCACCCTGCCCGCCGTAGCCGGATCCTCCTTCGGCGCTTGGCGTGCCTCTTCCAACTGGGCTCAAACTCCTGAATCGTCTCTTCTTTTTGCTGCGCTCGCCGCGGCCCATGTTCTCTTGTCCTTCGATGTTGTTGAAAAATTCGTTGGCGGGCTGGCCCGTCATGTTTGCGGTCGAGGAGAAGCGCGCTGTCTCTCTGCGTAGTCGTCGGATCTGCCTTTCACGGTCCCCCTCGCGCTTCTCGATTTCTTCAGGTGATAGGATTTCCACCTTCGGTTCCCATTCGTCGCAGAGATGCTCTTGGTCGTATCTCCAACCCGCACCAATAGTAGGTTCTACTGCATCGTTGTCGATCTCGCCGTCGCCCACTAAACCGCCATTCTCGCAGGCTTCCTTCTTAAGTCGCAGGACTGCTTCGTAGATGCTATGTGTCATGGCGTTCACCCATTCTCCCGATAGACCCAGATCCGCGCACGTCGTCTTAGCAAACATCTCGGCGAAACCTGGTGGATGTAATAGTGACCACTCGAACTTGTCGGTACACAATCGGTTCATGAGGTTGATGTTGAGCGTGACGATGCATCGGTACGTGTCATCTGGGTTGTGAAGCTCCTCAGACGGCATTGCGGTCGCAGTTGCGCTGATGCCATTTGGAATGCCCGCTGGCGTCTGTGCGCCGTTGGTATGCGATACGCCGTTGGTCATAGGGGTCGACGCGCCGTTCGTGGCTGGTACTTGTGGTGTGGAGGTGCCGTCACGGGACGAAGCCGGCAGTGCGGTCTTGCCGTTGGTTCCTTGAACAGCGGGTGAGTTCGCAGAGTGGAATAAAGGGTGTAGCGCAACACCGGCATATTCCTCCAGCTGCTGTCGAATCTGGTTTGCGACTTGAGAGATTATGAGGGGCTTTCGGTCGTTTGGCAGATCTAGTTCATCGACGAACTGCTTTGCGAATTGATCGGGTGTCGTCAAAGCCTCGTGCAGGTTCCAAAGGAACGAGTCCTTGAGTCTGTATGCGGGAGTGACGTCGGGTTGTTTGTACGCGGGCAGGTTCTCGTTGATGCCGAATTCTCGCGCGTTGGAGGGCGTCGGGAGCGGTGCCTCAGGCCGGAAAGCCTGAATGTCCATGTCTATTCGGATCGGAATCAACGTGACAGGCAAGACTGACTGCGTCTGGACTTGCTTCTCCGTGCTGCACTATGTTAGCCTTCTATTGCGAGATGCGTCCCATGGCTTAATCCTGCCACCATGCCACATACAGTGTGCGCTTCGGCCTGCCCATCCAATCTCGCCAGATTCCTTGTATGTCGACTGGCGCAGTGAGCTCCTCGCCCAGCGCTGCTATTTGCGCCGTGTGGTCTGCGCTATTCGGGTCGATCTTCTGTACGCTTCGCAGGCCTGTCGCACGTCGCGGCCGATCGCTGTCCTCGAAATCGTCATCATCGTATGCATCCTCCGCATAGCTGAGAACGGCAGTTCCGCGTTTTGTCACGCGCGGCGCAGGGAGAGTATTCGAGGGTGGGACAATGGGCGATATCAGCGAGTTTCCGTGGCTTCGCAGTCGCGGCGCATAACTCGACATGAAGGCCTGGGGCGGCGCCGTCTTTCCCGTACTCGTAAACATGGCTGTTGACACGGTCGATGGTCGTGCAGGAGATGTGAGGAAGCTCAGCAGAGCTCGCGAACACTAAACGCGTCGCGATGTCGATGGGGCCTCCGAATGCGGCGAATGGGTCACGGGGTCCGTCAGAAGGCTGGTCGATTCGCGATTACCCCTGCACTGCGACCGATAGGGAAGTCCGTTCGAATTGCGACTGCTTTTGCGCGTCCCTGGCTGGTGACGGATGCTTTCGCGGTTGCGGTCCAGCTAACGTTGCCAAGACCCGCTAGTCCGCAAGCGTCCCAGGGTTCTAAGGGCTGGGGGCTCTTTCCAATGTCTGCCCTCCACCTCACCTGCCTAGGTGCTCGCTTCACGATGCATCACAATACCCTTGATGCGCCAGCATACACGATTGAAGTGCTAGTAACTGCGCATTGTGAACATCCTGTTGCGGCACAGCGCTCTGCAACCTATGAAGACTCTCAATTCATCCACATTCATCAGATCACCATTCCCACGTGCCCAAAGTCTTTCAGTCACACGCGCTCTCTGCTTGCTTTCTGGGAGCGGAGTATGGATAGCAAGAGTTGGAAAATCTGAAACGCGTTATGCCTTCCTTCCGCCTGGGTAACTAGTGGCGCTTAACGGTCTCCACCAGGATATTTCTTGCCGCTGTGCATCCCAGCTATATTTCTACGGATGTAGGGTCTCTCATGACTGGACATCCAATCAAGCATACTTAATGAAACAAGAAAGGTAGGAAATACATGTCTTCGGTGGGCCTTTCGCGGGTTCTTGTACCTGTTCAGGCATCTGCAGTCCTCATCAAGAACTCACGGTCACAGCGCTGGCGCAACGATGGCGCGCGCTAATTCGCCGGGAGACGTTGAATACTCACCTTCACCTCCCAGCATCAAGTATATAACCTCCAGGCTTTGTCTCATTGTGAAGCTATTGTACATTACGTATTACTAAGGCTGTTGTGTTATGACTCTACAACGCCGCCACGGTCCTTACCATCGCGCCTACTAAAGACTTTCGTTATTCTTCCTACACAACTCATCGCAAATACGAGCACGACATTCATACCAACTACGCAACTCTACGAGACCTTCATTTTACTCTCCCAAGAACTGCTTGCGACAAGTCTTTGACAAGACACATTCCGATTACAGACATCCGAACCAACATTTCGACTTATACGGTACATCCCTCAGCTGGTCTAGGAAACACCATGTCTTTCAAGTCGACCCTTTACGCCGCGGCGGCCATGCTAGCCATGGCGCCGCTCTCTGCAAACGCACACATGATTCTCAAGAGTCCCGTGCCATACGGCAATCCCAACAATTCACCTCTCGACGCTTCCGGTTCCGACTTCCCTTGCAAGGCCGTACCATACACGGTAAACACTATGAACGAATGGAAGGTCGGTTCATCACAGACTCTCGCATTCACTGGTACGGCTGTCCATGGTGGAGGCTCATGCCAGATCAGCGTCACCACCGATAAGGAGCCTACAAAGGACTCCGTGTGGAAAGTCATCTACTCCATTGAGGGTGGCTGCCCTGTCTCTGCAGAAGCCAATCTCGATGAATTCGGTCCCAGCCTCGACAATACCTTCAAGTTCGATATCCCCCCAGAGCTTCCTAACGGCGTCATGACAACAGCGTGGACGTGGTTCAACAAGATCGGAAACCGCGAGATGTACATGAACTGTGCGCCGATTACGGTTTCTGGTGGTGCCGACGACACAACCGCGTTTGATGCTCTCCCCGATATGGCAGTTGCAAACATCCCAGTCCCGCAGTCTTGCGGTACGACAAAAGAGAGCAGTGATTTCACGTTCCAGAACCCAGGAAAGTACGTAAAGTCTGTTGGCAAAGGTCCTTTCGTGGATCTTTGCACTGGCGCAACTTCGCAACCCAGCACCGGCGGTGCTGATGCTGGTGGTGGCAGCGGCAATGCCGACCCTGGTGCTCCAGTCGCCAGTCCTCCAACTGCTAGTCCTTCCCCGGACTCAGGAGCCTACCAACCTGCTGCTACGCCTCCATCTGCCGCGAGCCCAGCTCCAGTAAGCCCCCCTCCCGCTCCACCAGCTGCTCCTTCTGGCACCAAGTCCGCCTGCTCACCCAAGCCCAAGCCTGCCGAGTCCACCCTCCGCACACTCGTAACCGTCACAGCGCCAATGCCAACAAACACCGACGGCATCTTCCCACCCGCCCCAGCAGCCGGTACAGGCACAGCTCCCGCCGCAGCTCCAGCGCCCCTACCAACCGGCCAGTCTCCAGCAGCATCACCCGTCGCGCCTCTAAGACCAACACCATCCGGCGCACCCGCCTCACCCGCACCCGCAAACCCGGGTTCAGGTTCAGACAAAGAGCCCTGCTCCCCCGACGGCGCTGTCGTCTGTTCGTCCGACGGCACGAAGTTCGGTCTCTGCGACCACGGCAAGGTCATCATGATCCCCGTGGCTGACGGCACAAAGTGCGAAAACGGAGCCATTGCTAAACGCGGTGATTACTCGCATCGTAATCAGCGCACTGCTATCTAGGTTTGAGACACTGGGTATTTGTGAAGATGGTTCGTTCGTTTTTGTATATACTTGTGTCAGCTGGTTCTGCCTTTTAGTATGTTTTTTTTCGATTTCTTAACGGGGGATGGTTGGAAGCTTTGGGTACGATTGTTTCCTGACCGAGCTTGTTGGCTTCGCTGTCGTGTAACAGAGGGGTGTACTTTCGCTTTTTCGCTGTCGCGATTGAAGAGGGGTTTTGTGTGTAGATTTGTATATCATGTAATAGTACTATTACTATGAAACCAACAACGCTTCTTTTGCCCCTGCAATGGTGAACTAGTACTCCATATACTCAGCTTCTAAGGTCCACCAACAGCATAAGGAGTGAACTTATAACACCCACCCACGTCAGCATCGCCAGCGATCCTCCAAAAGGTTCCACAGTCATAACTCGTCGTACCTCTCGCAGCCACACAAGACAAAGGGCATGTTCCATCAGCGTTATTGTACGTGACCTGGCAAACCGTTTCCTGCAGCCCAGCATCATTTCTTCCGAAAAGGACATAGGCTTCAGTTGCCCCGACATTCGGGTTGGTCTTGCCGACAGAGCCAGCATATGGCCCATTGAGGACTTGTAGCTTGTTGTTGTCTACTGTGGTAAAATGCAGGACGGGCGAGAGACCAGCCTCGTTTCCGGTGGTGTTGGGGATGTAGACGCTGGCGTCCGCGATGGGGTTTCCGCTGTTATCGCCGCCGATGGCATAGACGGTGAATGTGGGGATAGCGATAACGGGGGATGTGGCTGTGAAAATTGTGGTTTGTTCGGTGATTGTCGAGGTCTCGGTTGCGGTGTTTGTGATAGTTTCGGTGGCAGTTACGGTATCGGTTGCTGTTGCTGTTTCGAAGATGGTGAGGGGTACCTATTGCGGAGAAGATTTGTCAGTAAATAGTATGATAGCTTCTAGAGCTGGCAGCGACTTACAGTGACTGAAGAGGTGATGGTAGTGGGCAGACTCAAAAAAAGAAAAGTCACATGGTTTCGCCGGTCTCTGCCCATTGAGCTTGGAGACCTTGAAACATCCATGAACGTAGAGTTCCCAGAAGTTGGTAGTAGGAACCAAGTACGGTAGGGCTGGTCATGGAACCTAGTACCTTGTTACACCTTCCTGAGCCGACCTGGTAGATGACGATGTTGGTTATGAATTGGAGGTTTGCGTCTTGGCCTGAGATGACGTCGTAAACCGAACCCGCAGGGTACGTTGAACCGTAATACGCGCGTGCGTGAGCTTTGTTTACGTTAATGATGTAAATGGAAGTGACAAGGTTAGTACGTACATATGATAGCCGATTTGAGTGCTGCTTCTTCTTGCGGAAGACCCATGGTGCTTGATGTTGCTTGTGAGGAGGTCGACTTGGTGGTGGTGCTGTATAGAGTAAAGTTGAAAGCACAGTGTGTGTGGTTGAAGAAACTGAAAACTGGGAGGAAGTTAGCTGGTGTTACCTTTACCTTCACGGTTGGTCCTACCAGTTCTGTCTGAGGAATGGAAAGGGCGCCCGTGGGAATGGCGAGGCCCAGGGCAAGTCCGGCCACGTTGTTGAAGCGCATGGTGAAAGTGTACAAGTGTTGGAGGCTCAATCGATGGAGGAGATGCTGCAGGATGTGCTCTGGTGAAAACAACAAGACGCTGCCCGACAGCGTCTTATATACATCTTGTAAGGCAACACTGTTCTCTCCTCGCCCTCTCGCGTCGCTCTAGAACTCAGTCCCTTCGGCACCTTGAGGTCGGTGGAAGCGACGCTATCGGTTTGTTGCAGTGTAAAAATGAGGAGCTGAACTCTAGCTGCACGATCTCGACAGCCACATTTCTCCTCCTCTTCCTCGTCGAGTTAGAACTTCAAGCCACAAAAGTTTGGTCGTGGCCAGAAACAGGAAGAACTGAGCTGTAGGACGACGGTGAAGAATTGTTCAGCCAGCCTCCGACGAGTCTCTAGCTCTGAAGAGCACCCTGCTCTCGCTGGATCTGGAAGCATGTCTGCAGAGCCTCTAGGCGATGTCGGATTCCAAGTCCCCGTGAGTAAGTAAGCCTGAGAATGCTCGACCTGGTAAGCCTAGAGGCATTGCTTGTGGCCTGGAAAGGCATAGTCTAATCCGATTCTGGGGAAGGACGCCTATCTAGAACGCTCCATCGGGCCATGATCAACGGAGAAGCCTGACAACCCTGGAATCTGACCTATGATGTTGCGACTGTATCTTGAACCTTTCGAGGCTGTTGGCACGAAATAGTACTAGCGGCATCGCTTCGCCTGGCGCGGTCTGAGTGTTTCCCTTCAATCTGGGGATAAAGCCACGCTAAGAAACGGACCGAAGCTTATTTTACCCTGTGGCAGCTCGCCCGCACTGTTTGTCTTTACTCTTCCCCGGAGAATTCCAGCGCCCATGTTGTGCTCTAGATCTCGGAGCTCCCGTCATGCCAGGGTCGAAGGGAAGCACATGACTTGAGGTCTGCAGTTTGAAGGTCTCGAATTTGCTCTATCGTCAAGGGCGCCCCTGCCATGACCCTTGCCTGATCAACTGCCTGCCGCTCGGAAGCATGTGATCCGTGCTATGCTATCCGTCTTCAGCGTGGGAAGCGGAGTACACTCCTACGATGCCGAATACCTGGATTAAATCGCCCTATCTTCGCACGCCTTGCGGTGATCATAGGTAGATCTGGCGAAGTAATATCTGAGTGGTAGACCGGAACTTTCGCACGCACCGCGTCGTGATCGAAGGGAGGTATGACGAAGTACCATGCGGATGGTAGCTTAGAAGATCTGCAGTCTCCAAGCGAGATGTGATCTATCAACACCCAAGCGGACGGCCGCCCGGTGTCGGGCTCTGGTTGCGCAATAAAGAAAAGTCCATGCCTTTGGCTCACCTCGCAGCTTCGAAGTCTCATGGTCGCCAGCAGATCGTGCGCCGGTGAAGAGACAGACAAGCAGTCTTGAGCCGTTTTGCAGAAGCATAGGTGTGCCACTGCGGCGCGGCAGAAGCTGTGATGTTGAAAATGCTGCGAATCGACGTAGGGCTCGCTGCGGAATCGAATTTTGCAGGATGTCTCCTGTTCCGACGCGTTGGGTGGTAACCAGCTTTCTGGTGAAATATATCGCTTACCGCAGCGATCGCATCTTATTCGGACGAAACCTTACGGGTCGCTTCTGCTGGCTTCCGCGCTCGAACCTGGAAACCTTTCTCGCGATCGACTTTGTTCGTGTACCTTAGGGCTTGACTATTCAGTGTCGGTGATTTGCGGGGCGCTCTCGTAGTGGCTTTCCGCCAACGTTAATATGATCGACGTTGGTTTCGTTGCCTTCATCTCAGACGAGAAAACGGGGGAAGAAGGCCTTGATCACCTCATCTCCAGCTTCCTCTAGCCTGCGGTCCCCCACTACTCCTCAGTAGCATAATTCCCACACCCACCGCCATAGCACCCAGGAACACCCACTGCGGAACAACGATATCCGTATCTCTCCGCTGGTACCTTCGTGCTTTCTCGGCGTACATCTTCTTCCTCAGCGCACGTTCTTCTTCATCCACTTCAACATCTTTCGTCTTCCTTTCCTTCATCTGTTCCCCAACCAAGCCGTCGCCCTTCTTTCTTTGTACGTCCTTCAAATAATCCCGAATAATGAGGTCGTCCTCTTCACTCAAATCCACAAATTCCCTCTCTTTCATCTCCACACCCTGGTCAAGTGGACTTGCTACATTGAGGCCACCTACGATCCCCTCTTTCGCCGTCAACTTCTTCTTATCGACGAGCACATCGTCTGGTAGCCACTCTTTCAGGGTATCTTCGGGTAACGTCCGGAACACAAGACACATCCACATCTCCAGCACATTCATCACGAGTTCCGGGTGATCCATCCCCGGCACTGCATTGCCATATCCACCCGAAGGAAGCACAGCTAGTACACCGAAAACATTGTAGATACTCCACTCCAGCGCATAGTAATGTAGACTCGGATGATCTCTCCTATACCTGAAGTTCAGGTGCTGAGCCACTCTCACGCGCAGATTGCTACTCTGGCCGACATAAATCCTCAATCTTTTGTCGACACCTAAGATGCCGTTGAGGTAGATGGCCCGGCCTTCGTGTCGCAGGTCCCCACCGAGATGCTTCAGGGCGTCTAGAGAGAGGCGGGAGGAAAGAAGATGCCAGATTTGAGGACGTATAAGGGAGTAGATTGATTGAACGAGGGTGGGGATGCTGTGGTGAGAGATCCAAGGAACGAATTTGTGGTAAGGGTGAGGTTTGCCATCGTCGGAGGAAGAGACAGGGAGTTGGGAGAGGCGCGTGAGGAGGTGTGTGAGAATTGCTCGCGCTTCGAGTTGCACTGGAGTGAAGATCGTCTGGCTGGCACGATTAGATGGTGTTGGTGTTGTCGGTGTGCTTGACATCGCGGCAGCTGGAGACATTTGACGACGAGATGGTGTTGTGAGAAGAGGAGAAGAAGCCGGTTCCTGATAGACTTCCGCTGTCGCCATGATTTATATCTCTTCTCAAGGTTTGTAGAACGATACTTGTTGGTCGTGATTGGATGCCGTTTGTGAGGAGTTAGGCAGCTGTCCTGTAGAAGGCTGGCGTCAGGGCACCAACGTGCAGGTGCGACGAAGCTTGGAAGACAGACACAAGCTCAGTACGAGACAGCCGCAGCGGAAATCGTCCCCTAAGGAAGATGATAAGCTATATCGGGGTGCGCAGTGTTCTCGTGAAGTTGGAATAGTGTAGATATGTAGGTCTAGATGCCAGCTCCACCTGGGCGATGAGGCTGAAGCTAGCGCCCTTCGCACATGCCGTATCGGGCATCTTCTGAGAAAACCGTCGATAACGGCATCTCTTGAGCATAGCGCCTTAATCACTCGGCCATGACGAATCGCATGCAGGATCCCGTGTTCCTGTCATAATCATTCGCCCGCTCCCGAATAAGCTCATGTGGCTCAATCTGAACAAGGCTTCTGATCCGTCTTGCAGTCTCTTTGGTATGTTCATCTTGTGATTGTAATATGTTGAGTGCTGGCATGGTCCATCGTCCTGAGTAGCTACGTCGTACGTCATTTTATGTATTGAGTGAGGCCATTGGAAGAAGCTTGATGAAATTCACGTAAAGCGTTGGCAAGGCTGTGATTGTTACAATCGATTAAAGGCTACGCTCACGCTACACCCATGCGTCACTATGCCCTCGTGCTATGCTCTTACATCAATATTGTTCGTAAGTGAATTGGTAACACCCGTATTCAGTACACCACGGCCCGTCGTCTTCGTATGGTGGCCACTGGTCAGTCCTGAATTTGAGGCCGAGACGTACGGGGTATTGCAAGAACGTCCCAGGCTCTGCTTTGTCTTTTATAGAGATGTTCTACTCCTCGATCGTCTTGACGCATTCCCATCCGCCGCTGAGCCTCTCCTTCCATAGACTGACCCTGTTGTCGCCGGTGCTGACTGCGAGCGCATTGCCGCTCAGACTCCAGCTCACGCGCCACGCGGCAGCGTCGACGTCAAGCTGGGTGCGCTTCCACTCGCGCAGATCTGATGATGTCCAGATAATGACAGTCTTGTCCTGGGATGCGGAGGCGATGTACGATTTGGAGAGAACGGTAGGGGACCACGCGACGTCGCGTACCCAATCTGCATGACCGCCACTAGTGTATAATGTTAGCCAATGCCCCATATCGTCGATTCGCGACCATGACTTACAGCGGTGTCGCATTCCAGCTGCCGCTCTCGGGGCTGAACTCCCAAATCTTGACCTGGCAGTCGGTTCCGCCGGTGACTAGCCTCTTTGCAGCGCCTGCCTGGTTTCCGCTTGCGCTGATGACCTGTCCTGGCGCATAGGCAGGTGCCCAAGAAACACTGTTTACGCCGTTGCCGTGAGCAGGGAAGGTCTGATGTGTCCAGTTGTTGTCCTTGAATTCGAGCACCGAGACATTGCCGTCAGATGATGCGCAGGCAAGGAGGCAGCCTGCCTCGTGAGGAGCCCATGCGACCATGTTGACCGACTGTGTGTGTAGGGCGACCTCGTATATCTTTTGCCAGCTGCCGGACTGCTCGCGCCAGATGAGGACCTTTCCGTCATACGAGGAGGAGGCGAGGATGTTTCCGTATTTTGGGTGTGCCCATGCTACGCTCCAGACGGCGCCCTCATGTCTACGATAGTCAGCGTCGAGTTCCGTGAGACCATGACTTCTTTGGGAACGACATACCCTCTCAGGGTCTCAACCAGTGTGTGCTTCTCGCCCTCAACCTCGAAGATCTTGATGGTCTTGTCCGAAGAACACGTCGCGAGCCGCCTGCCGTAGTAATCCAGTACGGCGTCATGCTGTACCTCGTTAGAATCGGTCGGGGGCGGGTCGATGTCGCCCATTGCGCTGGCTGGTGGTGTGGAATGTACGAATGTGGGCTGAGGATAGAGGCGGATGTGTGTAGAGAACGTACAATCATGTCATCGTGGCCGGAGTTCGCTATAACGTTGGCCTACAGCGGCAGTCGCAAGTTAGCGGACATGATCAGGTTGGGCGCGTTGGTGGGGAAGTGCTTGCCATTCTTGTTGTAGATCAGCTGCGATAGATGGTGGTGAGTGAAATGGAGGTCGAAGCGGTATTTGAAGGCGGCGAGAGGATTGTGTAGGCAGAAGTATGAGCAGGCGCGTCCAGACGTGTCCACAGCTACACAGTGCCCCAAAGTTGGTTGATGCTGCTGTGGCCTCAATGCAGGGGTCTTGATGAGATAAGATTAGATCGAATCCCAATGACGCGCTAGCACACGCAACACCACCCGTGGACCTACCCAGGTACTATGTAAGCATCACATGCAACCACTACCTCCACTCACCACCCATCACTCATCATGGCCTATTCTTCTCCGCGCCACTCGCAAAACTTCTACCAGTACGATGCATCAACCCCTCCACCGCCCCCACCAAAGCCAGGACGGTCAAGTGGGAATGCGACTCCATCACAGGGACCTCCATTACCCCCACCCCCGCCAGGTCAATCATCGTATTCGGGAGATCAACAACAGAGTTCGTATTCACAACAGCAGTACTCGCAGATAGGCCCTGAGCAACCAACAGTCCAACCGCCGGACGATGGCTGGCTCCCTGATGTGCTCAAGGACAAACCGTATGCCAACCCTGCATCCTAGCTAAGCCAACTACTAAGGCACGAGTAGGACCAAAGACTTGCATCATGTGCTTCAGACGCCAGAATTGCAAAATGCTATAATTCACAATCCTGAGACAACACACCCATCGTTACCTGCATCTATTGCGCCTCTGCAGGCACTTCTCGCACAGAATGTAGGGTTGGCAGAGTCACTCAAACAGCTGGAAGCACATGTCCAGCACCAACGAGATAGCACACAGTCGCGGTTGTTATCACTTAAGGCTTTGGAGCGTCAGTGGAAAGCAAAGCAGGCTGAACAAGATGAGGCACTGCGAGAGTTCAGTCCGCCAGCACTCTATCAGAGGCTGAGTGCTTCAGTAGGCGAGCAAGAGGCGTTATGCCGGGGACTGGAAGAAAGCTTCCTCGAAGGTGAAGGTTTCGGTGGTGGGGATGCCGTGGCTAGCGACCGCGAAGTGACGGACTTTGTGAGGCGCTTGAGGGAGGGCCGAAAGATCGCCTACCTTCGAGGAGAGCGCAAGGAGCGATGGGATGAAGGCCGTGTCGGCGGCTGGCGATGAGCGCTCCACCTTGAAGTAATTATAAATACTAATATCAGACCACGCACGCAATGTCGCAGTATGTGTGGAGATGTCAAATTGCCATGGCATGATAGTCATGCGGCGTCGGCAGTCGGGAGCATGCCTGAGAGTCAAGGCATCAGCACATGCGATTCAGGCGGCGAGATATGCAGCCGGCTGTGAATCTAAGATTGCATCTCAGGGGCCTCGTCACCTCCATAAGAAGGATCCTCGCCGTTAGCATAGGCCGAGAGGCTGGACTGGTCGTCATGAGTCGTCGTCGTGAGCACTGTCGTCGTTCGCGGCAGGCGAATATCAGCCACATCCCAGTACAGCTGCCCCTTAGCGTGCTGGCTTCCTCATTTGGATACATCCGTGGTTGTCGGAAAATTGCGCGATGCCAAAATAAAGGTCGCATGCAATCCACTGCAAGCCACCCGTTGCGGGTGTCACATGGCAGGGTTGCAGTCGCTATGCACATGGTGACGGCTGGGATCGAGTCTTGGTGGTTCAGCGCCTCATGGAGTGTTTCACGTCGCAGGCAAAGGCGCCTCCGCACGTCACCTGGGCAGCCAGCGTCAACGTCAACTCGACCGGAGCGCGCGACTCTGAGATGTCAACACCCACTTTGCAATTGAGCGTATCCCCGAATCACACTCCGCAACTCACTCCCCACGACGACAGACGAGGCGCCCTCTTGAGCCTCCCCTTAGTCCGCGGCGCCCATTGGCTGGGTAAAAAGTGTACCTGCAGCCATCCTAACCCTAAAAAGCCCCCTGGCGCGGCTCGCTCCACCTCGAGCAGCGCGAACCGCCCATCACGGTCAGGTAAAGCGCCCGAATCGACCAATTCGAGCGCTGCGATCGGCTCAGAGGCCCCTGGGCGCCCCCTTCGCCGGCAGCTGTACCTGGCGAGCTAGGCGGGTCCCCTTTACGAAGAAGCGACTTTTGGCAGACTCTCCACCTCCCTCTGCGCCCATCATTTGTGCACGCCATGTCCATCGCGGGGGGATAATACGAGAATATGCAAGCCGTCCAAGCGTCCCCCGAGGGCGCACATGCTCCCAACGCCTTTGCCTCGCCGCCTCGCCAAAAGGGCTCGTCCTTGGCCTCGATTGCCATCTCGTCCTTTGCTGCTTTTCGGTCCCAGTCCTCGCAACCTGTGCCTGTCGCCGTCCTCCAGTCCCCGGTCCGCAGAAAGCCCCTTCCCGCGAATTCCCCCGTAGTTGGTCGCTTTACTGTCGATCAACAATCTAACCTCCCATCTGCTACTGCACCTGATAAGAGCGTTGATCTCGCTGCTCAAAGAGGACGCGCCCCCGACACCGTGCTGTCGCCGCCAGTCACTGACGAAGACCTCTTCCTGCCCCGGAACCTTGACGAGTGAGTTGCCGACACGCGCTTTCCTTTTTCATCGCGCCTTCCTTTCATCGACACTTGGCTAACAACACCACCAGCAACCCACATGGAAGGACCCCTCTGACGGCAACCGCACCCCGCCAATTCTCAGAACGTGATCGTGGGAGCTCGCTCTTCGTCGCAACGCGAGAACCCCCGACCGCCCCAACCGCACCGTCTGCCGCGCGGCATGATCGATCGGCCAGCGGCATCCAACTCCAACGTCAGAGCAAGACCGAGGCGTTGAAGGCCTTTGGCATCCGGGGAGCACACGCCCGATCCCCTACCATGCCGAACATGCCAGTGTATAACAACGCATCGC